GAACACAAACTTTATTAATCGGGGGGTCTCCCTGGCAACAGGCCCGGTGCCCCCCTGCAAATAGTCAAAACCGCCTCTTTCCCTGCCTCTTGCCCTTAGAGGGTCCAGGCTGCGGGACAGACCAGGACTGCCACTGAGACTGACGCTTCTGATCTCTGGGTCTTTTGTACGGGGGCTCATATCTGATTCTCGCAGGTTGAACCGCCGGAAGCGATTTGGCCTTGTCCTTAGCCGGAGGGACGTAGAGGCCCAAGGTCTGCAAGGTGCTGCGGGAATCTTTCATCCCATGCAGCCTGACGTCTGTCTGGTCCGCAAAGAGCGCCTTGCCATTGAATGGGAGGTCCTGCATCAGAGATTGGGCCTCCGTCGACAGCCCGGACAACAGGCGTCACGACGCCCTGCGCATGGTGATTGCGGACGCCATCGAGCGGGCCTCCGGGTCAGCAGCATCGGACGCCGCTTGCAGGGCCGCTTTAGCCGCCACCGACCCCTCTTCTATCAGAGCCTTGAAGTCCTTCCTGTCCCGGTCAGGGAGGAGGGGCTCAAATTTAGGCAGGGACTCCCACAGGTTGAAGTCGTACCTGCTCAGTAAGGCCTGGTGGTTGGCTACGCGAAGCTGGAAACTAGCCAACGAATAAAATTTTCTGCCAAAGAAGTCCAGTCTCCTGGCGTCTGTTTTTGGAGGTGGGCACGGGCTGGCCCTGACGCTCTCTGTGGTTTACCGATTCCACAATGAGCGAGTTGGGTGCCGGGTGGGAATACAAGTATTCACGGTCCTTCGCCGGCACAAAGTATTTCCTCTCGGCCTTTTTCGAGATTGGGGCCAAGGAGGCGGGAGTTTGCCACAGGGAGTTAGAGATGTTAGCAATACCCTGGTGCAGAGGCAGGGCCATGCGGCCTGGCGCCGAGGGAGACAGGACTTTAAAGAGGGAATCAGGCGGACCCTCCATCTCCTCGGCCTGCAGCTGGAGGTTGGAAGCCACCTGCTTTAGCAGGTCCTGGTGCGCCTTGAAGTCCTCCTGTGGTACCGATGGCGGAGGTGCCACTATGGTGTTGTCCGGTGCCGGAGAGACATCCCGCACGGGCCTCGGTCGGTGCCGGGGTGTCAAGACCGAGGTCAGAGTCCTGGCGTGGGTCCGCTGATTCGTGACCCGCCAACTTGTCCCATGGGCGGCCGGAGGAGGCCGATGGAGCCTGGGACGCTCTGGCGACTGGAACGAGTCTCCATTTGGGCTGGCACTGATGGCCACGGTGCCCACTGGCACCACTGTCCTTGCCACAGGGTCCCGGCGGAACGGCGCGCGCCGAGGCCGGGTGCCGAGGCCGAGGTCGCTGAAGAACGCTCGGTGCCGCGGGAGCGGTAGGAGCGGTGAATGTGACGTCGTCTCCCTCGGGACTGGGATCTCGACGACGATGAACGGTACCCACGCAACGAACTGCTTCGGTACACGTGATGGCGACGCGAAGCCCGGTGCTCTGATGCTAAGGTACCCCGAGGGGAGCCTCTGGCGTGACATCTAGACGAGCGGGAGCTGGAACGGGAGCACCGATGTCTGTCCCGTCGAGAGCAGCTCCGGTACCCACGTCTAGCAGGTGAGCATTCCCGGTGCCTCTCTCAGTGCCTACGCTCGCTGGCAGACGGCGTAGAGGGTCCCTGTGACTCCCTTCCCGACGGCAACCTGGATGGTCTGGCTGGTGTCGAGGGTGGCCGGGAGCTGTCAGAAGAGCGGCCGCTGTGCGCCGAGCGGTGCAGGGAACTGTCTCCGGAGTGGGAACTGCAGCTGCTCGGAGAGGTCTGGTGGGCACCCAAAGGGGGCTTGCCTCGCAACCTAGGGCCCGTGCCCGATTGCGAGCTCGGGACGGGCAGGGACATAATGTCCTTCGCAGCCTGCACTGCCTCTGGCGTCGACGGCATCTGCACCGGTGGGGATGCCTGGGCCAACGGTACCGGGCTGCTCCGCTCCACATGAGTCGGAGCCTTTGAGCCCGGGGGGGGGGGGGAATCGAGGGCTGCCCAGTGCGGGACCAGCCTCCCTCTTGTCCTTATCTCGGCATCGTTGTGAGGCCGGGCCCTTCCCTTGCTTTTTGGAGGGACAGCGGCACCGACTGGTCGAAGGGGCTGCGCTACGCACCGACGACACAGCGGCTGGCGCCGAGTCCGATCTGCGTACCGGTGTCGGGGTCAACGCCGACTCCATCAGGAGAGCTCGAAGTCTGAAGTCTCTCTTCTTCTTGGTTCTTGGCTTGAACGACCTGCAGATCTTGCAACGGTTGCTGATGTGAGTCTCTCACAGGCAGCGAAGACACTCAACGTGAGGGTCGCTCCTGGGCATAGAACGGCGACAGAAGTCGCACGATTTGAAGCCTGGGGCACGGGGCATGCCCCGAGCCCACTCTAACAACTGAAGAACGATCTACAACAGTACCACTAAGGTCGAGAAGAAGGGCTGCAGCAGAGCTGGAGCACAAAAGTTCTGACTACCTTCACTGGCGGCAAGAAGGAACTGAGGGTGGGGGGAGCTCATGGCTCCCCTTATAGCACGATATACAGGTGCCACTCCAGGGGTCGCCGCGGTGCTCCTCCATTACGGGTACTGCTAAGGGAAAAACTTCCGGCACCAGTGCACGTGGCGAGCACGCACACCTACTGTGGAATACACAGGAGCAATCACTCGAAGAAGAACATGACATACTGGCAGAAAGAAGGCTTTTTAAATTCTCAATGCCTCCAGAAAGACAAGCAATACACCCTTGACAATATAATGCCAGCAACAAATTATTTTCTTAATTTTTTTTTAATATAATCATTTGTACAATCTTGTTTCCTTCCATTCTTTCCTGCTATTTCTACTCTTAGTGAGGCAGATTTGACTATGTAAGTTTTTTGTTAATATCACATATAAATCTGTCCAAAAGTGCACTTTACTAGTTTCAAACTAGGCAGTAACAATTGACAGATTAGATTAAGCAGGACCATTGCTCTCAGCTAAGCAAACTGAATGCCAATTTAAGTGGGGAGAAAAAATAATTAAGTCATGCAAACCTTTTTAGTGTACTAAGCTACTATTAAGCTACTTTAGATATTATAATATTGGGTTTCCCAGTGAAATTAACTAGTGTAAATAAATTTGGAAAACACACAGCTTGTTATATAAATGACAAAGACAATTTTTAGTGGATTCTTTTTACAGAAAGTAGAACAGAACTCTCAGAGATCCAAGATCTTACCTTTGCCCTCTGCATGTAAGAAATAGGAAAAGAACATTTTGTACCACAGACAAACAAGCTAGACCCCTTTCCAGGATTCCGGAGCACAACTTCTCATTTTCTAAAATTATACAGCTTTATGCAAAGGTAATGACCTAATGTACAGTGGCATCTGACAAAATTCACATGGCTAATGAAGACTTGAAACACTGGATAGAGCTACTGTCTAGAAGTGATAGTCACAGTATAGGCTCTACATAGACAACATCAGGGGTTCCCAATTTTCTTCCATCTCTTGATAGATACATCCACTCCCCCTTTCATGACTACACAGATCACCCTTCTCCCCTTCCACTGGCTATGGCATAACATTCCTGGAGCAAGTACAGTAATTACTTACATAAAAAAGTAGTAATAAGGAAGTATTTAATGTAATTTTAGCTTCTTTCAATGTGATTTAGCAGCTGGAAACAAGATAGGAGAGCCAGCATCACGTGACAAGCCAGCTCTCTATATACCACCAAGAAGTGCTCTGCAGCCACTGGTGGTCCACAGACCACAATTCAGGAATTACTGGATTAGACAGAATAGGCAGGAAGAGTAATCCACAAAAACTGGAGTTTAACACACTGTCCAGTTCTTTACACATTTAAATATTTATATTTGCCATTGTTTGCTTCAATGTTGGGAGGGGGCAGTGATATATTCTAATCCAGGGGTGGGCAAACTATGGCCCCTCAGGGCTTTGGATCCGGCCCGCGGTGCCGTTGGCACCACGTCTCTGCGGCCCCCGGGCAGGGGGGCAGAGGGCTCCATGCATTGCCCTTGCCTCCAGGCACCGCCTCCTGCAGCTCCCATTGGCCGGGAACGGGGAACTGAGGCCAATGGGAGCTTCCAGGGAGGTACCTGGAAGCGCAGCAAGGGCAGCACACGCAGGGCCTCCACCCCCCCTCCTCCAGGGGCCGCAGTGCTTCCGGGAGTGGCGCGGGGCCGGGGACAGGGCAGGCAGGCAGCCTGCCCTGGCTCCGGTGCGCGCCGCTGCCACCCTGGAGCCACTTGAGGTAAGCGGCACCAGGCCGGAGCCCGAATCCCTCCTGTACCTCACCCCCCAACTCCCTGCCCTAAGCCCCCTGCCTGCACCTTGCACCCCTCTTGCACCCCAACCCCCTGCCCT